TGGCATGGACTTTGTTTCAAAAGTCAAACCAGGCACATTAATAATCTTATGAAACTAATGGTGAAGGGAAAACAGTTGCTTTCAACAGTGAACATTATGTTCCTTGCCAAGCACTATGTGCAACCTATTTCTGGGTGGCAGTGCAAAAGTGTATCACAAGTTGCATTCAAATCATAGTATGTTCCATTTTCCCGAAGTTTCTCTAAATGTTAATTTCTGCATTACATTTGAGCTTTCACATTATGTAAAAACCACTTGTGGAAAACTAATGGAATACAGCGTAACTTTAGTGCTCATTTTCATGTTTGATTCCAGAAAAAAAATCCATTTGCAACCCACTTAACCCAGAGAATCACAGGAGTAAAGCGACAAAAATTTGTGTGGTATTAATATTATTATTAGAATTAGAATTTATATACTGCCCTATACCTGCAGGTCTTAGGGTGGTTCACAGGATAAAATCAGAATATAAAACCACAAAGTACATTATCAAAATAATAATAAAAAACACCCAATAATTCCCCTCCCAACATGCCAGTATGTATACCAACATGCAGTTCTTTCCTTTATGGGGGAAATCATGGAGGATTTGAAGCACACTTGTGGAAAGCATGGGGGAGTAGCAACATTTTCCAGTGATGTCCTTTGTTGAATCACACCAAACCCAATGGGGTGAAGCACCTTTAGCCTTGCATAGCAGTATATTGGTCAAAAAGCCACAATGCCATAATACAACAAGTATTTCAGTGTGAAAGGTATGTTCTGAGACAGAAGTGCAAGCATTATAAAGGAAACTAACACAATTTCCCCATGTCTGAATGCACCCATGGTGTATTATGCACAATTAAGGATGTTTCGACAATTCTCCTCATCCCAGTTTCTTCCTAAATGTTTCAGACCCAAATGACATGGTGTTTGTTTCAGAAGCAGAACTGAACAAATCAAGAATCTTTTTAATACCAACAACAACAATCCCAATTTTTGCACAAGGCAGTCAATACGGCACCAACATTTTCACATCAGGTACTTCACTTTCCCCTTCATTACCTGCTATATCCAACTTGGTTCTGCTCAGAGTAGACTCATGGAAATGAATGGATCTAAATTAGTCATGTCCTTCCCCACCCCAATTGGGTCCACTTTGAGGAGAACTAGCATTGGATTCAACCCTGTATGTGTGCAATGTGGTTACACTGCTTCTGTATCAAGATTTTTCATCCATAAACACAGGATAGGGGCCATTGTGCAAACTGGTGAAACACCACACAAAAATGATATTGATGCAGTTTTACTGTCATGTGCATCCCAATCTCTGAATGGTGAGATATTTTAGGAGTTCCAGTGTGCACCCTGGGTCAGTTTCCTTCCAGTATGGTCACTGGAGACTTGTCTTGTTTCAGTGAAAGAAAGTTTTGTTTACACGTTCCTATATAGGCTGAGCATAGCATGGGGTTCACAACATCAAGCCCACAGACATTGTTCTTCAGCAGCTTTCTAATGCAGCTCTTGATGCTCTAGCTTTGGATTCTCACAAAGAGAAAGTCAGGCCTCTGTCTCTTCCAGACTCAGTTCTCACAGTGCCAAACAATTGCCCCTTTTACACAAAAATACCAACTGAAGGCATCACCTTGAGCATGGGCTGGGGGAGAACAGTATGCCCCCTTTCAGAAGAATCTGACTTTTTTTATGGTGACAAATCATCGGTACATGCCCCTTTATTTCTGTTCTGTTAAGTTAAGTTCCTTTTCTCCAGCAAACCTGCTAGGCTAAGCTGATCCAACTAGGGACAGAATTTTCTGAAAATCTGAAAATTGAATTTATCTACTTATCCTTGTGAGGATTTGTGACTGAAGATAAAAACAGAGAGGGAGGAAATAATAGATGCCACCTTGAACTCCTTGGAGGAATGGTGGGATATAAATGTAATGCATATGCATAAAGTAAGCTAAATTGCATGGCTGGATGTCTTATACTTGATTCCCCACCCCCACCCCACTCACTCCAGGTAGACATCAGGGGTTGGCATCATTGGACCTCTGGTACTGAGCTGCTTTCCACAGCAAGGAGACCATTGACCATCCCAAGAGCTGCTTGAACTGGTCCAGGTCTGAAGGCACATGAGGCCATCATCTTAAGAGATATGGGTATGGTCAGTGCCTTTATGGGAGACCACTGGGGAACCACATGTTTGCTGCTGTAGACTCCAGGAGGGAAGGAGAATTAGAAATGTTAAGACAATAAATATAAGAGATACTTCTTGTGTCTCGAAGCAAGTGAGGAATGAGATGAGTCAGGAAAAGAAACAGTAACTCCAGCATGCCTTTCCATCTCCTTCCTGGTGATTTGGTGTATTTATAGCAAGTGAAAAGAGAGCTGCTAGGGCAATGAGTGTGGTGTAGTGACTTGTGTTTGACTAGATCCTGTGAGACCAGGGTTCAAATCTCCACTCAGCCACGAAGGATAGCCTTCAGCCCAGTCACTGCCTTTTAGCCAGAAGCTACCTCACAGGGTTGTTGAGAGGATAATAGAGGGAGGAGGGAAGAAGCAGCTATGTCACTCTGAACTCACTGAATGAAATGGTGGGATATATATATAAATATAAATATAAATATAAATATAAATATAAATATAAATATAAATATAAATATAAATAATATAAATATAAATATTTAAATAAAAATGAGGTGTAATAGTCAGGAAAAGGGGAGGGAACTGAGAGAATCTGGTCCAATGATCCTTCCATATCTACAGACATCTCTGTCTGTCTCTCTCTCTCTCTCACACACACACACACACCCCTACAAATGTGGAATCAATAATAGTTGCCCATTAAATGTTAGTAGCCGCTCAACTCTGCAAGCTGCGTAAAAAATAGATGGGAAGCAATTACTTTTAATCTTGCAATATTTTTCAGCTGCATAATCTAATCCTCCCCAGAATGAGAAGAAGCCCCATTTCAGCACTTCTTTGCGCTGAGCCTCAGTGGTTGCTACGGCAATCTCCAGGCTGGTGAGGCAGCACTTTTTTTGCAGCTTCCCACCTCCCTCCCACCCCCACACCCACCAACACCTCCTCCTCTTCTAAATATATTCAGAGCAGTGCAAGGAAAGTCCCAAGCCTGCATCTGCAATTCTTTTTAAGTGCATCCCAGTCCCCTGGTGGGGCTGAAGAAGCCTGCACATTTTTCATAGTCCCTTTATAGCTTAGGAGTGATTGAGGCAATGGGGACTACATAATGACTTTGTGACTGCTGCTCCACATTCATGTTCCAGGGGATGATCTTTCTTGGTCTGTTCTGTACACACATTTTCTTTTCCATTCAGAATGCAAAAAGCACCATCATAATATTATCCCCCTTTGGGAGCAGGAGAGAGAGAGGAAAAAACATTAGATTAATTACAGAGCCTTATTTTAGAAACTCAGTCCTCTGCTGTGTGATATGTGAGGCACCACAACATATCCATTTGCCATCCCAGGGAGAATGACCCTGCCAGCTGAATTTTGGAGCAGTTTATTTCTTTAATTGTTTCTTAGACTTAGAACCCATATCCCAGCTGAAGCTGCCCAAGTGGTTTTCCTGGCATTGTGCAATACAGCTGTGTGTGTTTTAAGTAGCCATTTAGTGTGATTTCACTTTAAGGGATGTGGCACAGATGGCTTCAGGGCAGAATGTGACTATGTTTGTCCTCCCGGAACAGAAATTGTTGACTAGAACATGCTTTCCAAAGGCAGCATCCTTCAGATATCTGTTTTCAGCACAAGTCATTGTGGGATAGCAGAGGCAACTCATGTATCTTTCTCTTCTTTCTTTTTTTCTTGGATTTTCGGATTAGGCAACCAACCTTTTCAAACCCAGCCAACCTTTTTCTTTGAGGAGTCGGATGCCAGAAATCCCTTACAGAATTTTGGGAGCTCTTGTTCTTTAAGGATGTGGAGTTGTTAGGAGACCCCCATTCCCCTCCCAGAACTACAATTCCTAGGGTGGTTTAACAGCCAATCCCTTTGCACAGGGAACTCTGAAAATTGTGGCTCTGGGAAGGGGAATAAGGGTCTTCCAACATCTCTCAGCATCCTTATTAAACTACATCTCCCAGAATTCTGCAGCAGAAGCCATGACTGCTTAAAGTGGTATAATGCTGCTTTAAATGCATGGTGCAAATCTGCCCATAGACATACTCAGGGCACAGACAGGCACACGACCCGCCTCCTCAGATGATCAACATAGGGTTGGGTGAGAAATTTGATTCTGTTCTCTCAATATGCATTTTCTGCAAATATGCAAATCTCTCAAATATGCATTTTCTGAAACAATAGGATAACTGAAACACAACCATCACTTGAAATTTGCACTTATCTGTATTTTGTGACACAGTTCTCTAGCCACTGTCTGCAAAAATATTCATCTATTAGGGAACAGTGGATAGAGATGAATATATTAGTGTAAATAACTTCCAAATGTGTATTATTGTATTAGGAGAAATTGCTTGCAGAAATGCGTGCATTAGGCAAAACTATGTACCAAAAGGTGTGCACAGGTTACAATTTACAGTAAAATGCTGCTGATTTTTCATGAATATTTAAAATAATAACAGTGCAAATTGCTGCAAAAAAATGTGAAGAGCTGAATTTAAGATTGGAAAAATGAGAAAAAGAGAGAATTGAAAACGGCACATCCTTCCCTCTCTAGCTGAAGAATTGGGTTATATTGTCTGTTCTATGCTCATCAAATAGTCAATCTGATGACTGGGGAGAGATGATGGGCATCCCCAACTGGGCTTTGGACTCAGCCTACTCCAGTGCTGTTTACGCGCCCCCCCCCCATTTTTTCTCCTGCTACCAAAATCACTAAACATGAGGAAGGATCATAGCTTAGTGGCAAAGAAACTGCACTGCATGCAGGTCCACTCTGTGAGATTTGCAGTTATAGAATCAAAGAATTGTAGAGTTGGAAGGGAGTACAAGGATCATCTAGTCCAACTCCCTGCAATGCAGGAATATTTTGCCCAACATGGGGCTTGAACCCACAACCCTGAGATTAAGAGTCTCATGCTCTACTGACTGAGCTACTCTCATTCCTGTCTGGGAGAGATGATAGTCCAAAATCTTCGAGAGCCACTGCCAAATCAGATTAGACAACACTGTCTAAATAGACCAAAAACATGACTCGATGTAAGGCAGTTTCCAATGTTCCAATCAGATGTGCTGGGCTATAGCTCTGTGGCAGAGCATCTGCTTGGAATGGATAAAGTCCCAAGTTCGATTCCTGGCATGTCCAGGTAGAGCTGAGAATGGCCCCTGCCTAAAAACCTTGGAGGGCGGCTGCCAGTCAGTGAAAACAATGCTGGGCAAGATGGACTTTCAGAAATGGACACTAATCTCTCTCCTTTTCCTCACGTGGAAGAAGGAAGAAAGAAATCACACAAGATATGGGTAAAACAACAACAACCCACAACTCCTCTCCAATTTCTCTGTACTGTATTGTATTTATTGCTATTTCTTGCCCTGTTCCTTTAACAAGAGGCAGGTGATGCAATTATTTGTCTGCCTCCTTCGTTAGTGGCTTTGAAGGAAACGCTGTGGCGCTAAAGAAAAACCATAAAGGCGAACACAGGATCAGATGATAGTGGAGCTAAAACTGCAAGGCTGAACAAAAGCGAATTTCCCTCCTTCCCTTAAACACACTGCAATTAGGACAGGAGAATGACTAGCCCAGCTGTCGTGGGAGCCTGATGTTCGAGTCGAGTTTTGAAAAAGAATATATTATGCTTTTTATAGCTACTGTCAACAGCTATCAGGAGAAGGAAACAACTAGAACAGCTGGCAGGGGAGTCTAATGTCAGAGCGCAATTTAAGAAAGCACACTGTTTGCTTGGGCAACTGTCAGAGAAGGAAAACAACAAGCCGGCCAATGGTGTGGGGGTTCATGGAATGGCACAACCCCCCTTGTAAAAGAGAGGGCAGGGAGTGGAAGGGGGAAGTATAAAAAAAGTAACAGCACAGTTTTGAGGAAGAAAGGGAAACATTTGGAAAGGTGTGCTCTTGTTTTGTGTTCCACCATGAGAACTTTAGATGAAGGGTAGTACACAAATTTAATAAATAATAATAGTAATAATATGGTGGCTCTCATACAATCAGTGCTTTCATGAAGCCTACCACCATGATTTGATGGGACCTTCCAAAAGGAAGGGGCCATACCTCCAAGGAAGAGCATCTGCTTTGCATGCAGAAGGCCCCAAGTTCAATCTATGACCTCTACAGTGGGAAAGCCCTCTGCCAGAGACAACCATCACTTCAAAACAACCATTTTAAAACAAAAGTTCTCAAACCAATACAAGGACAAGGTCAAAGCATCAACAAAAAACACAGCACAGATGGATTCAGCAAGTAAAACAAGGGGCTTGGCCATTCAAAACCTGAACCTGACAGGTTAAAATAATTTACTTGTTAAATGCATGTGTTCATTAATGAGTTATTTTAGAAAGCATAGGAGGAGAGCAACCCCCAAAGCCCCACCCCACAAAATAATATTGATTTACTGAGGAAGAGGGATTAGAAAACAGAGACTGTGTCTATAAAATAAAAGTGGTTGGAATGCATGGGATTTCATTGTGGGAAGAGATTTACTGCAAGATTAACACATGAGCCTGTCCTTGGATGTAGGCATCATGTATTTGTTGCTTTTTATACCACATTATGCTTAAAAATCTAGATGCATCTTCAGAATCATCCTCTTTGATCTGAAACACAGGTGTCCTCTTGTACACATGTGGGTACAACTTCCTCTATTTGCGTTCCAGTTATTTGAAAACAACAACAAACAACAGAAACAACAGTGCCTATGGGCATATGAATAGTTGTTATTGGCAACAGGAGGCTGGACCAGATGGCTCATGCTCTGATCCACCAAGACAAGTCTGATGCTCTTATGGAGCACATTTAACAGACTATCATGCCTCTTAAACAGGGGAGACAATGTGGTGCCCACCAGATGTTGTTGTACTCCAGCATTGGTCATGATGTATTGGTGCTGATGGAAGTTGGAGTGAAACAATTTTTGGAGAGCATTAGCTCCTGCTCTAAGCAAACAAGCAAAGACAACAACAGCAGCTTAATCCCATCTCTTTATTTAGAGATGGAACCAACACAGACTGACAGATATACAATTACCATGATTCTATAGTAAGCACCCATCCATACTATTAACTGGACCTCACCAGTTTGGTGTTCTGCTTATGTTATGGATTACAACTTCATCCAACACAGCTACGCTGGCCGGAGCTGATGAGAGTTGTAGTGCAAAACATTTGGAAGGTGCCAGGTTCGCAACAGCTGCTACTGATATTTCAATACTTGAATCCCCTTTGATCCCAGTTTTATTTCTATCTTGCATTCCATCTCACTAAACTATCCACCTTGCCAACACTCAGAATTAAAATGGGCAACACGTTCTCATTTGACTATTACTTTCTTGTCTTTCATTACAGTTTAACAGCAATGGCCAGACTAAAAATAACATCTTCCTATTTCTTACGCATCTATAGGTAATGAAAAGCTTTGCACTGGAGAGGTCACTTCAGTGCTGCTAATGCAGCAAAAACAATGTGGAAGATAGTTGTTACAAGTTACGGATCTTTGCAGCCACAGCGGGTGCCGTGATTCTCCAGTGGTTTGACTTTGCACACTCCATTCTCTTTCAAGACAGATGGATGCCAACAACATGAGATAATGAAGAGCACAAAGATTTCTTCGATCTTCTTGCTTAAATTTATGTCTCTTTCTGTTGGCGGACATTTTCTCCTCCAGGCAGGCTTGAACCATCTTTAGTTATATCTTTAAAAATTTATATCTCATCTTTCTGCTATACAAACATCTGAGTTGCCTAACAAAATGTTGAAAACCTGGAAATAAACAAATGCCACATAGTAAGAGTTATTTGTGAAGAGGGATAGTTAGACCACACTAAGAATTTTGGGTCTGGGAGGGAAATAAGGGTCTTCTAATAACTCTCCACACCTGTAACCGATTACAGCTGCCAGAATTCTTTGTGGGGAGCCATGACCCACAAAGTGTCTTGAAATGCATGGTGTGAATGGGACCTTAGGAGGAAGCATGCATGATATATGGAGATGTATAACTATACCCTTGTTAATGTTGTTTTGTTTCCCTAAAGTTGTATAAAAAGAATGGGTGATAGTCAACGTTAGTCATAGTCACAGTAGATCCTTTGAAATGAGTGGACTTCACTTCTTTAATTTCAGTGTGTCTGTTCTGATTATATCATTGAATGTAATGCCTTTTTCAATATGCAGAAGGGCAGCGGCCTACATCTGAACAACCCAATCCTCCCCCAATGCTTCATATGTGAAAGCTCATCTCAGGCCTTCATGAGTTTAGTGTGAAGATGTGATGCAGGTATCTAACCCTATTCAGTGGCCACATGCAACATTAAAATGACATAGGCAGAATTTTTTTTTTAATAAACTGAAAAACCCAGGCTGTGCCACATGACCACTACCAACAGAGAAAGTGGAAAGGGATAATTTTTTTCTTCCTCTGTGATCATAATACTCAGGGTTGGCCAATGAAGCTGCAGGTTGGAAGTTCTAGTACAGACAAAATGAAGTACTTCATAGTTAAAATATTGATTCCCCCGCCCCCCACAGAAGCAGAAATGGCTATCAAAAATTACACAAAAGGGGATTACACAAATTCATGGTGATTAAGGCAATTGGTGGCTGCTAACTATGCCTCTGAATACCACTTGCTGAGAATCAGAAGTGGGGAGAGTACTAGTGGTGGCTTCACTGAAGCATTTGGAGGTTGCTGTGAGAACAGGGTGGTAAACTAGACACATGTTTGGCCATCAGGGCTCTTTATGTGTTTAACAGTAGTACCTTGGGCAAGCAGTTGCCTGTGTGTGCTATGGGATGGTGGGGTACCCAACTTAGTCTGAGGTGTGGTGATGATGGTATCTCTTAGGATCTCAACAGGGGGAAAGTAGATATTTCAATCCCAGGTTCTAGACTTCTCTTCCTCTTTTGCAGCAGTGCCCGTCATCATTGGCAACTCATTGATGCAATGTATATTAGGGATGGGGAACCTGTGACCCTCCATTTGTGTTGGGCTCTGATTCTCATTCGCCTCAGCCAGCATAACCAGCGTGGCCAATGATCAATCAATATCTGGAGGGCTGTAGGTCCCTCATCTTAAGTTAGAAAGCTTGGGAAGCCAACAGACACAAAATCCATTGATGGAAAATTTGAGTATTTACATAATGTACAGGAATGTACAGGAAGTCAGGCAACTTTTTCCACATTGGAAATAATGGTAAAATACTATGATGATTTATATAGATTGTTTATGCATGTGTTGGTTTATTTACTTATTGATTTGGAGATCATTAAACTGTTTTTTCATATATTTATATATATATAGAGAGAGAGAGAGAGTTAAGCTATTTCACAGTAGTTATGTAACAGGAAAATGTGGTTTCTTACCAAAGCTACTTCTAGTGATCAATTCCGTAATGCTCTGAAATGTTGCTGGAGTGATTAGTTTGGAACTTCACATGGCTCTGATAACCTCTTGCCTCATTTTATGGATGCTATTTCTTTTCCCTGCCTTTGAACACACTGCCACCCCTCCTATTGTATCTGTACTGTCAGCACAACAGCTACAGAATCTGCTAAATGATGTCTTCTAATGCAGAGCTAATTAACTTTCTCCCTTGGAGACAGCCTTCCTTCTATGAAAAATCCTTGCTCTAAGAGCAAGTCTTCCATAACTGACATCAAACAAAGAGACCTTCCTTCTGTGATCTAAGTCATTTAACCCACACTTATCAGACATGCATAAAGTCAACATTATTCTCAGTATATATATTGCTAAATGAAATCATCAGATGATAGCACTTGCCAGTAAGATACATAGGCAGGTAAAGGACTCCATTGGTGGTGCCAAGTAATGACTTTTTGTGGGCACCATCGACTCAGTAACATTAATAAAGGACCTCCTGGAGTTGACCAATGGTCCTTCTAGTACTGCAGAGTCAGCAAAAAGCAAGCAAGCAAGAAGAGTTGCTCTAGTATTATTGCAAACGGTGAGCCACACTTGAGATACCATTGGCAAATTTCTCCTTCTCCCGAAGAAATGTAATGAAATAGTTTCACCGATTTCTTTGCCCATATATAGGGTGGACTGCTCAAAAGGAGATATATGACTGCCTAGGTATGCAGTCTTGATCCCCAATTTCCTATTGCCCAGAAGACCTAACAG